AGAGGTGCACAAGCCGTCACACCACGTCAAGGTGTAGTCTCGTAGTGAAGTCCCTGCCATTCGTATGCAAATACGCGCTGACTTCATCACAGAGCAATGAGGTTTTTAGGGATACCGTAGTTAATACAGTTCACCGATACTGACGGTTGCGGAACAATACAGTAATTACATTGGTGTTGAGGAGTGAAATCACAACATTCCATTTTGATTCGTAACGCACATAAACGCACGCGCGGTACCGCACCTAACAACCGGTCAACGAAAGGGTCTGTGCGATCGCGTAACTCCGAGTGGTTATATAGCACAAGTAACTCTCAGAACAAATCAAGCACAAATATATCTTACCGCCTATGACCATGGCTGCAATCCCCAAAGTACAAAGTAGTGCAACTAGATGACGTGGCTGTCGTGAACAGTACTACCCATCTCGGATTCATGCATTTGGTTCACATTCGTGAACTATATCCACGCATGTCATGGCTTAAAGACCGAGATAGAGTAATATCATGTGAGACGATGAATCAAAGTTTCTCCTACCCCTTCAATGATGTATGGGACGACGAGAGTCTGGAGCTCTAAGGGACGGAACTAGACAAACGAAATCAGTGTATCGATACGACAAGGTAACGAGTATTCTATTCCACGGCGACAACACCCTAACACACCGTGGTCAAGTTCATTTATGCAGACTATAGTGGCGTCCACTGCATTTTGTAGCCTTTCAGGATGCCAGTCTCTCTGGATAGTTTTGAGATAATCTCAGAAGGAAATATCCAACGGTTTCCGGTCAAGAAGTCTGGCAGAAATGGAAAGTGGCCACAAGCTGTTGGGATCCAATCCACAAAGATCACTTAACAAGTCTTGTCAATGCTATGCAGAATGGTTTATGCCAGAGTTGTTCGTGCTCGTTCTACTCAAGTTCTGTTTGAGTAAACTTCTTTCTGTTGATTTTATGTTGATGCTGTGTTTAAATTTCACTTGACTTTTGTAATGGCAATCAGATAAAATTTTGTGATTTTTGTCAGCAAAACGGGATTCTCACTTTGTTATCAATAGTGTTGACAGGTTAGTTATTGAAGATTACTTGCCCGTTGATTACACTTTGCTATTATATTAATACGTATTTGTCTTGATTCATGGTTTTCGTTTTCCCCGAGTTACCGCGCATACAGTAACATGGATTTCCCTCACTGACGCTTTCAGGTTCGGTCTTCGTGGTCGCGAACTAGTCCAAACAGTCGGGAAGGGCATGCTTCAAGGTGGGGGGACTTTCGGCATGTTTATGGCCGTGGGTACTGCTATCCGATGCTGATTATAATTTGTACGATATGAACACCGCTCGATGAAAAATTGTGTACAAACCGGTAGTCACAAATACCCAATAGAATTATCTTTATCATGGATCGGTGAATGAATCAATCTGCACATGTTTTCTTGATTCTTTCCACTAGTAAAAGTAATATGTAACATATTGCGATTGTTTTGTAAGCATAATGAGTACGCCTATTTGTTGTCTTAAAAGAACAACTCACGAAAGAATTCGGTTATTTTCTCCAAAATTGGCGGGATTTTTTGTCCATTACTCTCATCTTAGCCGAATAACTAATAACCACGATCTAATTACTGAATGGAAAATCGGAGCGTAGTTGTTAATCCTTTTGATTGCTTTCTTGAGTTATTGGCGTCGGAAATACACTTCCTGGGCGCATGGATTAATTACCTGAGAAAATATTACTGTATACGCGTGCCTGAAGAGCCACACGGACGGCGAAACCGGGAGTGTGCGTACAGAAAAAAATGTTTGGATATGTTAATTCATTTTCTGCGGAATTGTTAAGTATTAAATCTGCCCATCATCATCGTACAGCGAGATACAGTGAAGCGAGCTTCAACTGATCGCTGCCAAGCTCACAATGTACACAAATCAAGTGATAAAGCACATGATGGAGAGGGATTGAGCCTACTTGGAGTGAGGCAAAGGAAAAGAACTTCTTTGTTCAACACAGAGTACACAATCTAAGTGTTCATGCATACCTTTTTTCAAGCATTTTTCCTTGTTAAGAAATGACAATAAGAACGCCACTGCTGCCGGTTCGCTGCCATATCCTTCAATGTCTCCAACCAACCAGTTGTGGAGTCTTTCGGACCCCAACCTGGAAGGCGAGAGACACCTACTCTATCTAATGGCTCTGTGCATTTCTTCATGCCTCGTCTCCACGTCATCTGTTGACTCCACGTGGTTTCCTCCAGCCCGGATTAGCTACAGCGAATAAAGCGCAGTGCGGTAGACGATGGCTGGACATGCTCAATACGTGTTCTAACCAGCGAAGCCGACTAATCTGACTTCGATGGGACAACGAATTCTCCATCGAATCATTACCAAATACGCGACGCCTCACCTCAGAGTTGCTTACAAGCCCGCTCAATCCAACCCGAGCCAAACTACGTAAACATCTGCAGTCGAATACTTCAA